TATGGAGGGGATGGGATTGGATGGGATTCGATTCGATTCGATCGTCTATGCTTATCTCCTTGCCATGATTAAAAAGGTAATGACGCAAAAGTATTTGGAGAGGAATCAAAGGAGAGAAATTTTAGCTAAGTTTGGTGTTAATTTAAGTGCATATTTTAGTGATTTTGCTTTGCCGATTGTTTGTAAGGATTATTTTTGCCACTTTGACAACAAATGCAATAAAATTTCATAGAAATTTAATGCACTCTTCTTCTTCTTTTATGATTTTCACTTTACCACTTATTTCTACTGTTTTTTTCCCTCAAAACTAAACTAAAAAATTAAATCTGTGTTTGTAGCATATGATTGGCAGGATTTAGCACCACTTAATTTAAAACCTCCTAAAAATAAAAAAAACATATAAATTAAATTCTACATTATAATAAATAAAATTTTCTTCGCATTCTCTTTTTTTCTCGTGCTCCGACTCTTTTATGACATAAATTCAGATTTAGTAAATTTATTTACACGACCAATGTAAATTGTACTAGCTCTTTTATCATTTACTTGATTTGATGAATCCAAATTTATTGAATTTGATAAATCATATACAACATAAATCAAATTTCCAACCAAACAAATGCGCTTCGTCACCTTCAAGCTCCACCGTATTTTGACCCAAGACGAAGCAGCGCCCTAGTGCGGTTGCAGACTGAAGCAACGGTGGCTTCTAGTTTGAAGGAGGGGAGTACCTGCCAACCCAATTATTTAGGTTATTCATTGCGGTTTAGGTTGAAAGATAGTTATTATTGCTGGAAATTGACTATTCCGGTCACACAATTAAAGAAGATGGTTATAATGTACTTGGCCATGATATAAATAGGCCTGAAGGAACAAGATTGAGATCCAATCCGGTGAGCGGTGAGGAGAATAATGTTGTTGTTCATGCTGAAATAGAAAGAGCGTGTCGGCTTCCCTCCAACAACAGCTAGCAGACATCAACGCAAGATGACGAGTTGGAGTTGACATTCCCTATGTGAAAATCTCCGCTTGATATCACCAGAAGTCTGTTTACAATTAAAAATTTTGATCGTTTTACTTTGGGGAGGGTCTCTCTCTATTCTATTTTATTCTCTAATCTAATATAATCTAATCTAATGCAACTCCAGTCCAGTCCAATCCAATCCAATCGATTTGAATCCAATCCAATCCAATACAATCGAATCCAATCCAATCCGATCGAATCGGATCAGATCTGATCCGATCCTATCCCATTCGATCCCATCTGATCCCTCCCATCCATCCCATACATCCATCCATTCATCCATCCATACATCCATCCATCCATCCATGGATGGATGGTGGGGTGGGTGGGTGGTGGATGGAGGATGGGATGGGATGGGATGTCATGCGATCTGATCTGATTCTATGGATGGATGGGTGGGTGGGCGGGTGGTGGATGGAGGATGGGATGGGATGCGATGCGATGTGATGCGATCCGATCTGATTCGACTGGACTAGACTGGATTTGATTCGATTGGATTCGTTTGGATTCGATTGGATTGGATTGGATTGGATCGAATTCGATTGGATTGGATTCGATTGGATTCGACTGGACTGGATTGGATTGAAGTTAGATTAGATTAGATTAGAGAATAGAATAGAATAGATTACAGAATAAAATAGAATAGAATAGAATAGAGAGAGACCCTCTCCAAAGTAAAACGATCAAAAATTTTAACTGTAAACAGAATTCTGCTGATATCAAGCGGAGGCTTTCACATAGGGAATGCCAACTCCAACACTTCATCTTGCGCTAAAGTCTGTTAGCTGTTGTTGGAGGGAAGCCGACACGCTCTTTCTATTTCAGCATGAACAACAACATTATTCTCCTCACCGCTCACCGGATTGGATCTCAATCTTGTTCCTTCAGGCCTATTTATATCATGGCCAAGTACATTATAGCCATCTTCTTTAATTGTGTGATCGGAATAGTCAATTTATAGCAATAATAACTGTCTTTCAAGTTAAACCGCAAGGAAGAACCTAAATAATTGGGTTGGCATGTACTCCCCTTCTTCAAACTAGAAGCCATCGTTGCTTCAGTCTACAACCGCACTAGGGCGTCGCTTCGCCTTGGGTCAAAATACGGTGGAGTTTGAAGATGACGAAACACATTTGTTAGGTTGGAACTTTGATTTATGTTGTATAGGATTTATCAAATTCAATAAATTTGGATTCATCAAATCAAGTTAATGATAAAAGAGCTAGTACAAATTACATTGGTCGTGTCAATAAATTTACTAAATCTCGATTTACGTTATAAAAGAGTCGGAGCATGAGAAAAAAAGAAAATGCGAAGAAAATTTTATTTAATATAACGTAGAATTTAATTTATATATATATATATATTTTTTTAGGTGGATTTAAATTAAGTGGTGCTAAATCCTGCCAATCATATGCTACAAACACCAACTTAAATTTCCTGTTTAGTTTTGAGGGAAAAAAATAACAGAAATAAGTGGTAAAGTGAAAATCATAAAAGAAGAATAAGAGTGCATTAAATTTCTATTAAATTTTATTGCATTTGTTGTCAAAGCGGCAAAAATAATCTTAACAAATAATCGACAGAGCAAAATCACTAAAATATGCACTTAAATTAACACCAAACTTAACTAAAATTTCTATCATTTGGTTCCTCTCCAAATACTTTTGTGTCATTACCTTTTTAATCATCGCAAGAAGGTGGAAGATTAAGATCCAGATAAATTCTGCTGAAATTCTCCTCTTTCTTCGTCAACCCCAGTGCAATTGGTTGGCGGTGCTTCCGCATATGTCCGCCAAGAGTCTGACCGGAACTGAACTAATTGCTGCAGACCGAACATTTGTGGCTTTTAACCTTGATCGTGGCTGACAAAGAGAACGAGTTAACGGTCAATTGAATTGAATTCACATTCATCACCCCCGACGTGAGGGGAATCGAAAGCTTCGATTTTTTATTATGGCTAGCACGATGCCCGCCAAGCGTCTGATGTGAGGAAAAGCACAAATTGCAATCTCGGCATTGGTGGACATTATTTCCAGCCTTGCTGCCGGTGGTGTTTGCCGGCTCTGTGACTCGCCCGCTCGTAATGTTCACGGCGGTGGTCGCTTCCTCTCTTTCGTTGAGCTTTGGCTTGTATCCACCTCCGGCAAGGAGTATGAGACAATTAGCCATGTCTTCTTCCTCCTCATTTGGGCTCTTAGAAATCTCCGCGCAGGTTGTTGGAGACAATACATATGATACTACGTGGGGCAAAAGGTGATGCCTTTGCCGCTTGGTTCTCTTCTCTTTCATTATGGTAGATTCTTCCATTGACGGGTAAGAAAGTAGTATGCGCTTAGAAAAATGAAGGGTGAGGAAGGTGAAGGGTGATTTTATACAAGTAATTAGAAAACCAACACCTTTGATGTGGGTGGAATGAAACCATGAACACTTTAGTAAGCACTAATAAAAAACAAAATGAATGCAGAGTTTTGCGGGGAAGGATGGGCTTAGAGTGAAGATAGGGGGATGACAATTAGAATTCTTTGTAGTGTATTCTATTTTGGGATGATTACATGCGGACCTCTCGAAATACTAATATTTATAAATTAATCATCTAACTCATTTTCTTGGAATATGAAACCGATGTATTCACACGTTTCACGTGGTTAAATTTCTGACATTTTGATAAAAGTAAAAATTATGGGTTGGAGTTTTAACATGAATTATGATATTTGAGGGATAATTTGAAAAATGGATGAAGGAGGGGGATTGATTTTTAAATAGCAAGCTTTGGGTGGTTTGTAGATGGTCGCCGCTTCTCTTTTTATGTGTGATGCATGCTTGAGATCAAGAGCGGAGAGAGCGTTACGGTAGAAATTCGCCAACCTAAATAGTAAATATTCATTTCAAACTTATGTTGTTTTTTAGCTCCTCACCCTTCACTTCTATGAGTGCATTCTTGTCCATCAATTGAGAATCCACCATAGCGAAAGGGAAGAGAACCAAACGACAAAAGCGTAACATTTTGCCCCTCGTAGTGTTGTATTGTCTCGAACAACCTCTACAGAGATCTCTGAGAGCCCAATTGAGATGACTACAATCCAAAGCCCAACGAAATAGAGAAAACGACCATCACCACTAACATTGCGAGCTTCTGAGTCGTAGAGCCGACAACCACCACCGGCAGCAAGGCTGGAAATAATGTCCACCAATACCGAGATTGTAATATGTGTTTTTCCTCACATCAGGCGCTTGGCGGGCATCGTGCTAGCCATAATAAGGAGAATCTACTTTTGATTTTTATTGATTTAGAAAAAGCTTACGATAAGGTTCCAAGAGATATCCTTTGGATAGTTCTTGAGAAGAAAGGTGTTGATATGACTTATATTAAAGTCATTAAAGATATGTATGCTAGAGTTGTTACCTGTGTTCAAACTGAAGGAGGTTTGACCAAATATCTTTTTGCTTTAGTTATGAATGGTCTTACCGGACATCTACAGGAGGATGTACCTTGGTGCATGCTTTTTGCTGATGATATCCTTCTCGTGGATAAAACGAGAGACAAGCCCAGGAAAAACTTGAATTATGGAGGTCTACATTGGAGTCTAAAGGCCTTCATTTAAGTAGAACTAAAACTGAATACATGGAATGTAATTTTAATAGTAATAGCTCTAGTGACAGAAGTGTGACTTTGGGTGATCAAATTATTAAAAGGTGTGAAGGATTTAGATATCTTGGGTCCGTTGTTCAAAGCGATGGTGATATAGATGGGGATGTTAGTAGTAGAATTCAAGTTGGTTGGTTGAAGTGGAGGAATGCTTTGGGTCTTTTGTGTGATAGAAAAGTACCGCTTAGACTGAAAGGAAAATTTTATAAGACGTGTCAAAGTAAGTCATATATTATATAACTTGTGAAACTTGCAACTTAGTCGGTTCCAGTTATCAAAAATAATTTGTATAAACAGAGTTGATATCTTGAAAATATTCTCAGAAATTTGTTATGTTGCAAATATGCTGCAATAAGTAAACTTCTTATTTCTTATGAAATTAGGTAGTAATTGGTACTGGTATTCAATAAGGTTTTTCTTGCCAATGAACGGGGTTTAACTAGATAAAGTGTAAAAGTTGTTATATCTTATTAGCGTTCAAGTTGGAATTACCTTTTTGCTCATATATTTCCATTTTTTTTTGTCATTTTCGAGCAGTTGCAATCAATTATTTGTCAAAAGTGGTGGCTTTTTTTGTTTTTCTCCCATCATTTAGCAGTTGAAGGAGAAATAAGCTTTTACCAGATCTCGGTAGCATGAAATGCATTGAGTCCTCTATCAATTCTTTTAATGATTGGGAATTTTACATACCTAGAACCCAATTCTTTTGTATTTGCATCTCACACGTAAACTTTCATATTTACATACGTAGCACTTTGGTGTTTTAAACCTATGCATGAAACAGTGTATTTCACTTTTAAAGTGGTAGTAGTGCTATTTTTTTTTCTGATATTAAAGATTTGAGTGTTGTGTGTGTAGATATGAAAGTTTAGGTGCAAGACATCTAAATACATAAGAATTATGTGCTATATTTGTAAATGCCCTTAATGATTCTAAGGCGCAGGATACCTGTACTTGTTGATGTGGTGTCCACTTCAAATACTTTAAAAAATGCCCTTAGTAGTGGCATATCTCGTCATGCTAAAGAACTACAAAGCGCCTGAGCATTATTTGATGGTAAATTGGTTAGTATTAAAAAATCTTTGCACTTTGTTCCCCTTGTTAGTAAGGAAAATATGGAAGAGTGTTTTCCTACTAACTTGTGGGAATGAAAAAGATTGATCATTCATGTATTGATAATGACATGTGCGGTGTAGTATTAGCATACATATTGACTGAATTTTTATTTAAAATTTGTTGCTTTTTGAAAAAATAAAATAAAATTTTAATTGCATGTAATTTAAGATATGAATGAAGTGAATGAGTGTAAAGTATGAACTTGAGGACCATTTTTCTCGCTATTTTCTTATATGACAAAGTGGGTTTGAGGTGGAAATAGGTACTTGGAGTAAATGGATCTACTTTGTGCCATTTAGGTTGCTGAGAATCAACAAGTGACTTCTGACGGCTTGCATAATGTTGAGCTGCTTCTACCATTCAAGGGTGATGCACAACATGGAAGGTGTGCTGGACTTGCAAAATTTAGTTTTCTTAGTAGTGAATTGTAAATTGTAATCTTTTCTGTTGCAGAGGACCAATTCAAAGTTATTTTACGTAGCATGCAGTTCAGGTGATGGTGTTGGTCTGCTTGTGTTTAGAGGAGCCATATGTGCTTATGCATATCTTAGTCTGAAGGAGCCTGCTTCACAGGCTATATCTGATTTAAAGGTATTTACAAATATACCATGTTGTTAATACATCACTCTTACCATGAGTCTGCTCTTGCTTGTTGATAACATTAATTTAATAGTTGGTACGAGTGAAAACATGGTATTTCAATAGTGGAACATTTTTTAATGAAAAACTAGTTAAACCCTTCTCATTATCTAGACAAAAAAATAGTGTCAATTGCAAAACTAAGGTAAAAGTTGAAAGCAAACATAATGAAGTGAAAGTTAAGAATACATTGTATTTTTAATCGAATTATTGATATTCTTCCCTTTAGCATTAGAAATTAAAAAGAAATTGATATTAAACCGAACAAATTTTCTCATCTTTTGTATTTCCGTTTGAAGCATCTAGCATTTCTTTCGATCTAAATGATGTTATTGGAAGAGAACATGTCTCAAAGCTTCTTTAAATTATTGATGTAGGCCTTTCTACGGATAGAGAAAATAGCGTTCACATTAGCTGCCAAAGAGAAATTATCTGATCCTTATGTTTTTCACAAAAAGAATCGTTGATGATTCCCTTGAATGAAGAGGCATTACTTGAAAATTTTCTCACATAAAAAAAACCAAGCATTAGTTTTAATTCTTAGAGGAGCAATAGCTTTCTAAAATCAAGCAAGGGCCAACAAAAAATGAATAATTAGGTGTAACAAGCTAGTCATTATAAATATTAAATTGATTGATAAGAGGACATAAATTTTTATTAATTTTTAAGGTGAAAAGGAATAATTTGTTTCTATAAACTGTGACGGTAGCAACTAGTTGAATGGTAGAAACAACAAAGTTATGACAGTTGCTGGTAAAGGTGTAGTGATCATTAAATTGAGAAGCAAGCGAGACGTATTAATCATTTATACTTCCAAAACAAATGTTTTTAATTCTTGAACCTTGAGAGATATATTGAGAAGAAATGAGTGAAGAAATGCAAGACATTGAAAAATCAGAAATTAAAGTATTTGACAATTTTCTGAAGAGAGGCAAGTTGTTCTTATTATGCCTTCAATATTATAACTACCTGCAACCTCAGGATGACTAATATTCCTTTTATTGATAAGACTAAGGCCACTGCTTCCTTTTTGTTTTTATTAAAAAAAAAAAAAAAGTTTCTTCTAATTTTTTTTATATAACCAAATTTGGAAATAAAAGAAAAGAAAAGAGAAGAAAAGCATAGAGAGGGATTATGAATGCATTAAATGCCTATGTAGTATAAAGAAAGTGATTCAAGGGAGGAATCCAGAAGATTCGCCAGAAGGGTACCTAAAGTGAGTTGCTTCCCAAAGTAAAATAAAGAGGATCTGAGAACTTTATTTTAAGGCCACATACTTCTTCAAAGGATGATTAAAATATTCTTGAGAAAATTAGCTTGATAGGGTTTAGCTCCGCATAACATAAAGATCATCACTCTTAAATTGAAAATTATTAATTAGAGGCTCTCAATACTTAAAATGGATGCCCTCAGTCAAATGTCAACTATTTTATAAGTGACACCCTTCCATCAATTATTTCATTTTTTTAATCTCTGGACTTTGAACCTTGGAATTATAAGATAAAAATTGCACTCAAGCAGTTATTTTTATTAGTCTAATGCATCTTTTTCTTGCTCTTCTGTGCAGAATGATATCATGAACAACTAGAAAGGGAGACTAGATCTCGTACTTGAGGAGGGAGAAGATACATTGGACATGGCTTCTAATGATCTTGGGAAAGCAAGTGGTGAAATGGTGTCTGGAAAGCCCATCCATCAACTTATTTTGCATGAATTGAGGTAGGATAAGTGATACTATTAAGAAATTATATGATTTGAAGCATATTGTGAGTGTTTACTTTTTTTCACCAAGAAAAGATTTATTCCTAGTAACATCTCCAGCCCAATGTTTGTTGTTTATTATTCTTCAATATTAGATGATCTCTTTACAAATCATTTAGTTGAAATTTCTAGGGTTCAGCTAGCC